CTGCCGGAACTACTTCTTCTGCCGGAGCTACTTCTGGTGTCTGAGCTGCTTCAACTGTCTGAGCTGTTTCTGCTGCCGGAGCTGCTTCTGCTGCCTGAGGGACTTCTGGTTTCTGAGTCGCTTCTGGTGCTTGAGCTACTTCTGGTGTCTGAGCTGCTTCTGCTGCTGGAGCTGCTTCTGCTGCCGGAGCTTCTTCCGCTGCCGGAACTGCTTCTGTTGCCGGAGCTTCTTCCGCTGCCGGTGCTGCTTCTGCTGCCGGAGCTTCTTCCGCTGCCGGTGCTACTTCTGGTGTCTGAGCTACTTCTAGTGCTTGAGCTACTTCCAGTGTCTGAGCTGCTTCTGCTGCCAGAGCTTCTTCTGGGGCCTGAGCTGCTTCAGGTTTGATTTCCACTGGTGCACTTTCTTCTAAATTAACACCAAGGCTTAATTTAAAGCATTTACCGATCGGATCAACAGCCAAAATGTAAGCTCCAATAAACATTTGCTTAGCAATCTTCCCGTCAGTAAGGATTACTTACAGTGTGCGTACTATCTCGGGAATTTTTGGCCGAAAACCTGAAATGTAGGCTTCATTGGAAAAGGATACTTGAATAGGGTTTGGAGTTTGCATTGCCGGCAAATACAAGTGACGCTAATATGGCAATTTCCGGCTCATTAGCCGTTATCAGCCAGTCGTAAAAAACCCAAGTGGCGCCCCACCCGAGGCACCAATCGTTAGCCTTAGATTTCTGAACAAAAGACCGCGGGTTCGAGCCTCGGTTTGTGCACTACTTGGGATTAGGTATGACTGGCTGACGACGACTAATAAGTCAGAGATGGTCATTCCAGTTTCCCTTGTCTTTGTCGACAATACTATCTGCCAATATTTATTTACACTTGGGACTACAGACGAGGTAGCATCTGTGATACTTATAATTACCACGTGCTAGATTTTCCGTCACCTTTGGGGTCGTCCTACATACATGTAACATGTCGACATATGCAAGACATTGATACGCTTTCGCTAATCTTCATTGAGTAAGGTTGTAGTACTGATTATCACTGTGCGACCGCTGTCAGGGCCCGAAAAACGAGACCTAAGGCGAACGGAGACGAGTGAGTTGCATTAACGATCGGTTAGCGTTCACCAACGGGTTGAAATATTAATTATCATACAGCATAATCCAAATATCTTTCAGTCACGCCAGGTTGTCAACTTTTGAATGGGCGTCTTTCCGACAGTTTTGAAAACCTATCCACGGTAAAAAAAATAGATGCCCTATTTAGTATGTATTTTTTCGAGTAATTTTCAACTTCATAAATTAAAATATATGCAGAAGCACATCGACTACTCTTTCAGTGGGTCTTCCTTAACGTTAAAGACTAAACTACAAACATGTTTACGTGTACCTACTACGCCTGTGATCATGATTGTTGACTGGCACTTGGCAGATGTTGATCAAAAAAGCATTGTATTTGGTTAGTGAAAGACTCCAAAGCCTCCGAAGGACAATGCACCCAAACGGCTACTCGATTTAAAAATATTGCACAAAATGCGTGTGAGCGGAATAGTGGCTCTGAGGAACTGCTAATGAAACGTGATCATCCAAAACGCCACCGAGGCCAAATTTCGAACGACGTAGTCATTTACCCTAACGCGGTATTCAGCCATAGAAAAACAACAATTCACATTTTTATCGCAATTGAAGGCAACAAGGAGATGCGCATCCACGAGCAGAACCTGAAAATCTGCTGCAGCAACAGCGACTAGATCTATATCAGTTGTGCCCGTAAAAACCGTTGATTACTTAAGAAACTCAGACTGCACACCGTAATGTTGTTTATAACTCAGCTATACTTACTGTAAACCAAACGGTCCTTACTCGGAAAACTAAATCAATTGAGAAGATAATACTTCAAAGAAAACGACAGTTTTACCGTGCGATGGTAAACAGTTTTGGGGTAAAAGATGCCGAATAACATTTTTTATAAAAGATGTGACCTAGTAGCTTTTTCGTTAACTGACTTGTCAGCGGCTGTTCGACAGTTGCACCAAGCTACAGTCGAATGGTATCGGTTTAAGTGCGCACCACAAAGCCTTTGATGTCTGAGGTGGGTTCATGGCACGCCAACCACCTACGCTTAATTCTCACTTCGACCACTTGACGCGGACTAGACATCGAGTCCATAAGGGTGTGGGAAGAACTAGTGCGGTAGATGCAGTGCAAGTCTTTCATAACCATAAACTAATTCACGCACAAATCACCGCGTCTACTTTGAATACCGTGTCATTCTAAATCTAATTTATCTAAAGATTTAATTCACAGTGGAATAACATCTTTTTCAAAATGTGGAAGCCAACTCCCCATATTGCTGATCAACATATTAGGCACAACCAGTGGTCGTCAGTTTCGAGGAACGAAACTGACACGCAAACTATTATAACTGATAAGTACAGTTTCAAAAAAGTCTGTTGTGAGTGACTGCGATACATTAATATTTTTCGAGCGTTGTCCGAGTAAATAAAGTGCGTCTCTTTATCTCCTTTTTGTCCATAGGCCGTGATGACCACACCCCGACCTGTGATACAGGATTTTCTTGTCCGACTGCTAGGGTAAAAACAAGTCTCTAGCACGAACGCACTCGAGTCGGAGTACCATGATGAAGTTCTTCGTGGGAGATAACCACATTCCTAACGGCACAATAGGAAACACGGTCGACAACTATTCCGAAAGTTATTGCTCTTTGTACATTTTACCCTCAAGACTATGTTTGTAAAATGATTTTCTCTTCCAGGTACGGTAAGATTTAAGCCCATTTGAAAAACTTGTAAATTGTATATTTAAAACGTAGACCCTTAGTTGGTCGTAGTACAACACCGAGGGCTTAATAACTGTCCGCCTACAAGAGTATGGAAAAGGCATGTGAACACTACATATAAGACTTTAAGACAGATTCGAAACTGAATTTAATTACCGAATTTGTCCCGGTGAGATGCGGATAAAAAAAGGTTCTAACAAGCAACTCCTCAAGCTTAAATTAATGAAATCCAGGCTGGCAGTTGAGATGTTACACCATCTTGATACAGGCGACTCTTTCGTTTGGTCTGACTCACATCGCCAGAGTCTGACCCTCCACTAAATGTCGATGGTGACTTGGAAACTCCAGGGGAAAAATGAGATACAAAAACCAATCAATACAACCTAACGCACACGTCAATCGCCTACTGGCTCGAACACCGCACGAGTATCGACTTCTTTAAAACGTTAATTTTTTTCGTACATTTACTCTGATGGTGACTTGGAGAACCAGCGTCAAACATTTACCAAGGTCTCCTTTTCCCAAAGAATATTTTCTGAATGCCTGCCTTCTAACTCGTACGTATAAAGTTGAATAGCATTTAGTCGCTTGCCGAAAAACAAGACAAAATATGGCCAATTTTAGATTTAAAAAGTGTAATATGGGTCATAATGTCACGACTTGTGTATCGCGTTTTGCAGACACAAGAGGTCGCTGGCGGTCGAGGCCATGAGCAAGTTTATTTTTGTTAATTCCCTTTCTCACTTTTCTTTCTTATATCTCGAGTTTAAAGGCAACATTATGATTGACTATTTGCCGCGTTGAACAACGACCCTGCTGTTATGGATTAATTCAAACTGTTGCGTACTCAACTCAATTCGTTATCTATCTCACGCTAACACGGGTGGCAGTTGAAAACCTGTCTCGGAGTTTGTTTATACAATTAAATCCTACTGCAAACGCTTGTTTTAAAATGAAGCCTTTTTGCTTAAAATTGACAAACCACACTGCATTTTATACTAGTAGGACTTCTAAACTTTACCGTCTAGCAAACTTCCTAACATGTATTTTCCCCCTTTGTTTTGTTTCTGTAACTTGGAGCAAAACGCGCTTATAAAAACCCGAAAGCAGCTTAAACATGGGCAGATGTAAGCCCCTTAACGGAAGGGTAGCCCTCTGGCCATTGCTACAGATAAGCCGTGCATGTGTTTATTAGCGCAAGGTGAATCACCAGATGTTCCAACCGAAAAAGGGGCTGCGGCTATTTATAGTCCAGATTAGGCTGCTTATGAATTATACAACTTGGTCCATATTCATTACAATCTTTAAGGGAACTATATGGCTTCTTCCTCACGTCGTAGGAAAATATTTAGTTAGCCTAAGGCATCTTTTATACAGCATGCATTTTGAAAACCTTGAATTGAAGTGTAACGGCTAGTAGGTTCAACATTACTGGGCCATATCGAAGCTTTTAAAACCAAAACATATCCCTTCTTCAAGTATGCATTTTAAGAAGGCTTCATTTTCTACCAAACAAATACAAAATAATAATTTTGTACATATCTGAATGTATAAGGGCAGTAAAAATTCATGATAAACATGTATGCTACTTGAGTAGCTATTTTTTACAGCGTATGCTTTCTGCAGGTGGTCGAAAGGAAGCTCGTTCAAAAGCCGGCATCCTGAAGTGACTCGAATGTCTTGCGATTAAATTGCATGGCAATCCATCTTTCAATCAGTTAATCGAAAGCACATGTCAAAATTTTGGTTGACATTTCACGGGATAGGGAATATACTGTACGCTTGAAAGGAGGATGCCTCCGAAATCGGCAGGCGAAATAAACGCCCTCTAACCACGTAGGAAACGCCAATACAGAAGCAGGCCTGCAGTGAACCAGTTTGAACCACTTCCCGAAATCTTAACATGACAAAGAATACTGCTTCAAATTTGAAGCACTTTTCCTGAGGTACGAATTTAAAGCATGCCTACCCCCATTGCCTAGATGACTGTTGAAGTAGGAAAACGTAAGTCTGCGCTCATCCATTACAAAATATTTGCTTCATACGGGGCACCCTATGGATATCAAACTATCATTCCGAGTACTTGTTCAGGCATGCACAACTCGCACATTGCGCTGCCTGGAGGCGGCCTATCTACAGTGAGGGAAGCTCTACCTTTGTAAACAGGAGGAACACGTGGTTAACCTGAATTTGCCTTGGTAGCATCCAACTCCTATATTTACACACTTTTCTTCCTCCCAGTTGTTTTAAGGTTCTTTTTTCCTAATTTTGCGTCCTATTGGGTGCTTTAAAACTTCATTGATTAGCCTACGCAGCAATATACCACGGCATTGCTGGTTTTGGATCGATTTTTCTTTCTGTACGAATTCAAATAATTGTACGTTCTCATTCTTTCTTAGCAGGTAGAAGCTGACGAAGTTTTTGGTTAAAATAAATTCTGCAGTACTTGTATGCCTTAAAAGAACATTGCGAAAACCGGTTATCACGGGGGCCAGGTAGTGTTATTTAACGAATGCTCGGACGGAACAATCATCATTAACGGCCATCGATTCCCGTTGTCAGCAATTCAAGCCGACAAGAACCCT